CTCTCATAATGGAGAATAGTCCTTTCCACAACATCCTATCCACTGCCTTCTTTGCAGCGTCTGACCATGATGACCGAAGGGTTGCGGGTTCGAGTCACGGCACGGCACTGTGTTGTATCTTTGAGCATGATACTTTACTCCGCTTGTTCCAGTCTACTCAGCTGTAAATGAATACGTGGTTGGGCAGTGCTAGAATTGTTGAATGCTAGCTGTTAGCGCTGAAATGGCAGCTTCGGCTGTATGCTCCCTAGGGAGTTGAGAAAGGTTTTGGCTGGTTGCAAATGCCATATAACCACGGATAATAGTTTGAGACGACCTACGAACTAGGTTGTAATAAAGCGGTATATAAGAACCTCGAATTATTATTATTTATTATTATAAGAAGCCTAGATGTTTCATTTCCTTCTCTACTCTGTCCTTCTCCGGGTTTCTTTCGGTCTTCCTCGTTTCCTTTTCCCTTCCGGTGTCCAACCCAGTGCTACACGTGCATGGCAGTTGGGCGCCATTCTCAACACATGCCCTATCCATCTCCATCGTCCTGTTCTTATGATGTCACCGATTCTGTCAGTTCCTGCAAGCTCCCTTAATGTTTCATTTGTAACTTATTTTGGCCATAATATTCTTAGTTTCTTAGACATTTATGTAGGAAGGTGTTTAGAATTTTCTCGTCTCCTTTGGTCATTTTCCATGTTTCTCCTCCATATAAAAGCACAGATAACACATTTGAATGGTAAATCTTTAACTTGGTCTTCCTGTTGACTTGATTGCTTGTCCAGATTTGTGTAAGCTTATGAAAGGCTAATCTTGCTAGCCCTAGCCAACTTCTTATATCTTCATCTGCACCGCCTGTTGTATTAATGGTTGCTCCAAGATATACAAACGTGTTATCATCTTCAATAATTCATATTGATGAGTTTCTGAGATATTCCGTAACTCTTCATGATCTTCCACAAAGTATGTCAATGGACGCTGTCAAATGCTTTTTCATAATCTAGAAAACATACATACAGGTTTGCTTTCCACTAATTGGCCTGCTTAGGGACGTTACGTAGCATGTATATCTGTTCAGTTGTTCCTCGCCCTGCTCTGAATTCAGCTTGTTAACTTCGAAAGTTCTTATCCACTTCATTTGCAATCCTGATGATGATGACTTTTCCCACTATTTTAGCTGTTTTTACCATTAGAGAAATACCTCTCCAATTTCCACAATTTGTCAGGTCACCTTTTTGCAAGTTTTACGACAAGGCCCCTTTTCCAATCTTGTGGGATTTCCTCTGCAACCCTGTTCTCTCCAATCAGCTTGTGCATCTTTCTAACAGTTGTTTCAATGTCTCCTTTTAGAATTTCTGTTGTGTTGTTATCAATACCAGGGGCTTTACCTGACTTCATCTCTCTTAAAGTAAGTTTGATCTCTTCTATAGTAGGTGGACCTGTATCAATATCTAATTCCCCAATACCATCTGTGTCAACATGTGCAGGTTCTGTTGGATCAGGCCTATTTAATACATCGTCAAAATATATTTATTTTTATTAATATATATGCTCGAGGTAAGTTTTACAGGTAGATTCACTTGTTGAAACTTTTGAAACGCTTTTAAAGAAAAAGACAATAATCCCAATCAAACCAAGTAGCCCCACAGGACACAAGAGAGGAAAATAAGTCCAAAATAGATAGTCGATAAAAACATGTTAAAGGTTTACCATCAACCAGGGGAAATGACATTAAACAAAAGGAAATGACATCAAACAAAAGAAATTAATATAAAAAAGGTAATGAAAAAGGCAAATGCCAAGAATATTAACGTGGTAATTGTTTAAATACTTAGATATATCTTTTTGGACAGACCAACAGTTTCCATTTAGTCTAGAATAGTTATTGTTTCGTAAAGAGATTTAAGACTAGAAATATTATTGTAGAAATTATCTCGTGATAGCTGAAGTTAAATGCATTTTAACGATAAGTTTGATCGGTTGTTCCTTAGTGAATATTGATGTATCATTGGTAACCGGCATCCAGTATCAGTATCTTCTGCAATCATTGCTGCTGCAATACTGTATGGTCGTCTTTCGGATGATTAGTATAAAATGGTTGAAATTCATTATACGTCAACTGCAGTCTCGAAAGGATGAGAGGAGTTAGATTAAGCATCAATTTCAACTATCTCGTAAAGGGAACCTTAGACAAAATCGTAAGCCATGTAGGGACATCCATTCTTGCTAAAGACAATTTCAATATTAATTTGGGCATTATTCAAAAAGGAACGAAATGTGAATACCAAATATTGAAATACATTTTTTATATATATGTTATTACAATCAAACTTTGAAGGATTTATGTTTAAATCAAAGTGAATATACATTAATAATTTCTCTCGATGGTTCGTTTGTTCCCACATAAACTTGCAAATGGGGTGGATTTGAAAGCTCGAAGTGCAGATCGCCTACCCATTAACATTTCATGAATTTAATATCGTAAAAGTTCTCTATAGATTCTTATCAATACCTTAATATCAGCGCCCGAGTCAGAATGGCACATCACCGTTATGATCTGAAGTGCTTTAATGCAATTTTCTTAAAGGTGTTACATATAAGGAAGTAATGATGCTTTTCTTTCCAATATAACCAGGAGTTAAACGTGTTCAACTATAGGAATGGGTAAGTATCGAGGGTACGATTTTGATTGTCATAAGTTTTACGTAATGAAGAAAAATATGTGCACAGCATTTTGGATTGGAAAAGTTAAAACTATTTTTCATCAACTCACAATCGAACATTGATTAAATAAATGCTCCTTTTGACAACCTTGTGAACAATTGGCAGTGAATAGGTCCCGAATACGATTTCTACAGGGTTTTTGAAATGTACAAATACTGCAAAATGCGTGGCGATATATGATTCATTTGCAAAACTTCTGTAGGAAAAAAGGCTTAAGCAAATATTATAATTAATGTATCGGCTTTGTCTGTCCGTCCGTTATTTTTTTCTTGTTTTTTTTTCTGCCCGGAGCTACAATGTAACCTACATTATGGAAACATGCTATATTGTAGATGAAATTAAATGGCACTTCACCAAAAACAGACAACGGTGTGTCAAATCCTATTTTTAAGACCCTATTTCATAGTCATAGTATTGAAATCGTAATGTTCAAGTTAGATTCAGTTGGCCCGGAGAAAAAAATCTTTTGAAACATTATTTTTTAGAATTAAACATATTTGAAAACTGACATATTTGATTTAGGTCGAACTAACACACTGAGATCACTAGCTCGTGTCGTCTGTTCTCTGGATCTCAACTTTTCGGACACGGTTACAAACGTTTAGGCAAAAGTTTAATAACTCGCACCGATTTCACTTGTTCACGATACATTTTCATATTCAAAGTCAACAAGGCATTAATAGGTCAATGGTCAACTTCCTTGGCTCAGTTCCCCTTTGGAGTTATTAAACAAAAACATTTCATTCACCCAGTCATGAGTCAATAATGTTTCATTGTAATTAATCATATTACAAAATTGTTTATGTAATTTTACTCTTTTTTAGGCAATTTTGTAATCAACTTTGTAGGTTAACTGAGCTTTAGCTCAAGTGACCTATTGTTATCCGTCGTCGTGCGTTGTCCATTGTGCGTCGTCTGTTAACATTTTACATTTTGATTTCATTTCATATTTCCTGAGAATGTTACGGACATCTCCCTGACCAAGTATTGTTATTTTTTGGGTCGCTTAGAAATCCAATATTGCCGCCAATGCCGCCATTTTGGAGAAAATAAACTTAAAGTCCAGTTATAATGTGCCGATTTCACTGAAACTTAGTAGGAATATTACTTTCCCGCGTTTCGGAGAATAGCGGGAAATATTTGTTCTGTATACACGGAGTATTATGAGGACAGTTGCCTGTCTCGTGCAGAGGTTTTTGACCAATCAGACTGAGGCACATGCTAAGGGTAGTTTACGGGTATATGTTCATTCTAGCGTCGCACCTCAAACGGCGTAAGACAGTTTGAAATAAAATTATAGCAGAATTTTATGTTTAGGTAACAGATGTATGTGTGGGCATCGTCATATGTAAGAAATCCCAGCATAACAAGGTTTTCAGGCTGGGTGGCGCGCTGGGGTTTACATTTGTATGGCGATGAAACATGCGAGGGTATATGTGGGAGGATTGTTTGAGTGTAAATGAAGTCAGAGTAGTTTTTTTTGTTAATGCTTATTGATGATATTCATATTACATTTATGAATAAATGCCGACTCCGTCCGTACTATCGGTCGAGCAGCTATTTGCTATTTAGGTGTTGTGTTATGTTTGCCTTGGTATGTATATGAGTATATAGAGAACTGAACGACTCTTGGTCCTGACAAAGTGTTGTTATTTTTCGGGTCGATCAGAAATCCAATATGGCATCATTTTGAAGAAAAACACTAAACGTTTTAAAGGCATGTTCTAATGGGCGGATTTAGTGGCATTTTTTTTAGGAATTATCGACTTGTGGTCCTCACCAAGTGTTGTTACTTTTTCGGGTCAATTAAAAATCCAATATGGCCGCCACGGCCACCATTTTGGAAAACTTTTTTAACGGAAAATAAAGTTCTTATGAACTATTTTAACTGGAACGCTAAATGAACGATCGACTTATGGCCGCCACGGCTGCCATTTTGAAAAACAGTCAAACAGCGAGATACATTTTCTTTGGCAAATGGCATTCATGTGTTACCACTTCTCTAGTTTTACTCAAACCTGGTAGTGATAATTGACTGATTGACCTCGCACTGGTGAAATACATTTTTTGTATGACAAATAATGTACTATTATGCTTTGACATCATCATTTCAACAACAACAACAAAATACAGTAAAACTCAGGTGACCGTTAAGGCCCATGGGCCTCTTGTTATTATTCATGGTTAATGTTTGTTTCATATTAGAAAATAAGAAGAAAAAAACGATTGATTTAAATTTTGACATAAAAGTGTATCATTTGTTTTCATATCGCTTGTTATTTCAGGTCCTGCCGCAACGCTTCTCTATGATGCTGTAGAGACACCTGTCGCCATGATTATTTTATTGGGAATAGTTATGTTGAATGCAAGTTTATCACATTTCTCAACAAGACATGCAAGGGTCGATAACAATGTATCTAGATGCAACACAGGAAAAGTTCACCATTCTTTTGATATCAGAGGATATGTGCTAGTTCTTTCCGACGACAGAAGCCTTCTAGAGCGCATGTCCGGAATAGATCTTAGAATACCCGACGTTATCATTTGTGATAAACCCCACAACATCAGCTTACTATGTACCAAAGCATGGAGGCATAAGGACATATCTGACAAAGAACAACATGATCACTTCGAACGACCAAATACAAAAACTGAAAAAAGTCTGCTTCCATCAGATACACGTTTATACCTATGTACATGGGGAGCTATCAGTTGTAGAATAATCGCTAATTTCGGCTATCTATGTTCCAGTGCATGGAGACACAAGGAAATATCTGACACAAATCATTTCCAACGAACAAAGCAAAAAGCCAGAAGCAGGCTGCTTCCAACGAATACACGTTTATTCATACGTACACGGGGAGCTATCTGTTGTGGCAGAATCGCGAATTTCAGCCTTCTTTACACCAGTGCATGGAGCCACAAAGTCAGATCTAACACAGAACAACTTGATCAATCCAAACGACCACAACAAATAACTGAAAACCGGCAGCTTCCAACGGATGCACGTTTAAACACCGTCTACTCGTCGAATCACACGCAGTCTACTTTATCTAGATGGATTTCGATATCGCAGAACGGTACTTTTTACAAATGGGCGAATGATAATTATCTGCAAAATATTTCTGTCAAATTGTTTTCAATATTCAAGAACGTTTCTTTAGAAAAATGTTTGACAATCATCGATCATATGGACACTATTTCCGACGGATTTTTTTTAATGCACTTTGTCTCCGTCGCATTATTTTCATTTTGGAAGAACGATTGTTTTGACAAACGGTTGATAACTGATCGTATGAAATCTCATAGCGGTTCTTTCGAAATTTCAGAAAAACAATACTCGATGGTAGACATTTCAGACAAACAATATCCCATGGTAGACAATTCAGACAGACAATATTCCGTGGCAGTATCCCGTGTTAAAACGCTATATTGCTGTAAATGGACAGTGGACAGAACTACAAATCAAAGAATTGCTTCATTGGAGAACAACTGGAATATGAACAATTCGAATGTGTTAAAAACTATACGTGAGTTGGAAGATGAAATGCAAAGAAAGATTTACCTTTTACATTATACTAGAACTACATATTTATATTTAGTGTTGATAATGAATAAATGCCAACGTAATAGTCATTTATTATCACGTGAACCAGCAATTAGCACCAATTGGTTTGTATCTCCTATGTCTAGACTAGATTGTATCTTATTTTGGATTATGTTTACATGTATATGTTTGTTTAAAAGTGTTTCTTCACAGAAGTTTTACTTAAAGCTAACTTCAAAGAAAATAATATATTGGTTCGTGTTTCAAGTTTCAAACAATATATTAAACAAATACTGTTATTTTCCTGTATATTTTCCAAATGTGTTACATCATGTACATAAAATACGAAATGAAATACTTCAAAAGTTATATCCAATCGTTTCACCTTCGTTTAGGATAATGATCATTCGGCGTTATAAAAGGTACCAACGTGATATTATAAGAACTAAAGTGAAAGAGTTTTTCGAATCCTATGTTAAATGGTTGAAAGCGTTTAATCTTAAACAGAAATATATTAGGTCAGCAAACATTGGAAATACTTGCTTGAAAAACAGGCAGAGGAAGAACCAGCTTCGAGGAGGAAGAAAACGGAAATGTTCTTTCAGGAAAACTGGTCCATTTATGTATGGTAAGCCGTTATATAAACGCAATTCTTTGCAAAGGACATCACATCTGCGACGCGCATTCAACATTTTCACGAGCAGTTCGCAAAACAGCTTAAATAAAGCCATCACATCCACCCAGCAAACTGTAACCAAAACAGGGAAAATAGCAAGGGATGCAGCGAATAACATTTGGGACCTCTTGCGTCTACGGCGGTTCCCTCGTCCAACACTGATAGCTGTTTTTCCGTTCCTGGGGTCATCTGTAGAAAATGAGTTTTCACGAGTTGCAACCTACGCCAACTTCCCTACAAGGACACCTGTTAGTACCCTACGTCTAGCTCGAGCTGGGTTTTTCTACACGGGTAGCTCAGACTTGGTGGAGTGTTTCCACTGCCACGTACAACATGGAAATTGGGAAACAAATGACATACCGTTTGAAATACATGAACGGATATCGCCTTCTTGCGATTTTATACTTGGAAATGATACCGCAAACACTGCCATTGACCGGTCAAGCATCCAGAGTGGACCACACACCAGTCTACTCAGTACTACGAGTCTTGCGCAATCGAGAAATTGTGAAACCAACATGTATGGAACGCTTACCTCAGGAGAATTACAAACTAACTCATCTGCTTATGCATCTATCGGATCAGAGCGCTCTTCGGCGCTTCTGTCTACCGGATCAGAGTGCTACGAAGAGTTGCATTCAGACTCGATTGGATTTAGTAACCAATGTACAGAGAATAGTCTATCTACGATTGATCAAGAAGAGAGTGGGAGTTTTCACCAAATATCAACAACTGCATCACAGACATGTAGTTTCGAAAATCGCGAACATTCCATGAATCGAAATGCCAACGGGATCTCTTCAGTTGTAGATAAATCAAAGATACATAATAAACCAACACATTCTGATTGTACAAGGATGGGGAAAATGACAAATACACAACCACGACATCACGCAGCAACCGTTCAGCTCAAACCGCTAAATCAGTGCCACGATCGACCAAAATACATAGCGTATGCCGTCATTACTGTCCGGATGAGCACGTTTAAGGGATGGTCATCCCACACCAGCCAAACTCCGAGGGAGCTTGCAACAGCTGGCCTGTTCTATACAGGTACATATATGATTTTATAGACATATGCAGAACATTTATAATGGTGATTAAATTATCAGTCAATGATTTTATATAACACGATATCTGATGAAATTTAACAACATAACACTTGTTGATTGGATAGTGTGTTGGTTTTTATGTCGTTACTCTTTTTAGCTACAGATAGTTACTGAAACAAAAATAAGCCGAACACGCTTGATATATAATTCAGTTTGTTATTTTCTTACATTGATATTGTTGTTTTAATTTTTTAACAATACAGGGTGTGGTGACCTTGTCAGATGCTGGTTCTGTGGTATCAGCTTACAAAGCTGGGAGACAAATGATGATCCTTGGATAGAGCACGCTAAGTGGGCACCAGCGTGTTTGTTCCTGAGACGAAGCAAAGGAGACGAATTCATTCAACTTGTCCACGAAAGAAATAACGTAAATATAGCTTTGGATTCAATGCCGTGATTCCTTTTGTTGAGGAAAAGCGATTTGAGTATTTTTTTTTATACATAGATTTTGGCAATCAATTCATACAACATTGTTGCATAGTTTCATATGTTGGTAAGTTTTAATTTATGAGCAAAGTCATTAAATTTACATCTACCGCTAGCAGAATAATTGTATACTAGCTGTAGTTCATAGTTGAAATGTAATATATTATATGCAATACAAATCTGGTTATATATATATGATTATTTTTGGGTGAGATCTTACCATGTTTAGGACGGTAATTGCATGGAAACTGATTAACAAACCATAATTGAATAACTTAATTCCATACTCCTTATGGGTAAATATGATTAGTAAACTAATAGACACAGCTAGATAGGTGCTGCTCATTTTTCTCCGAAAAGGGTCTGATAATTTTCAATATAACCTAGGGTTCCATGCTCTAAGCTCCATTCACTTCTGTAACCGCCACACAACAGTCCCAACATTTGAAGAAAAGACGTTTTTCATACCACAAAATAATTTTCTGAAATTAGGAGCAACTAATTTCAATTGAATAAGTTAAGAATAAATATGGTAATTTTCATCAAATTATTACGAAATTTTGCTCTCACGGAAGACAAAAGTTAAATATGTAGTTATTCCCTCGGTATGGTTTTTACAAAATCTTAATCAGAAAGGTTCAGTTACATAATGATATTGTCTTAGTTGAACGGTCAAGGAATATGCCATTGTAGGTTTCCTTGCCATCCCAGTTTTAATGAAATTATTTATTTACCTGTTAGTTAAAGCTCATGAAATCCTTTCTAAAACCTTAGAACTGACAAGAACAAAGGTTGTCCCTATTGCAAGTCCCCTGGAAATAATTTATTAAGATGATGTGACATATTTTGAAGCAAAAACATCTCTCATTTATAAAACTGTAGCTGTACTATTTTTCGCAGTGTGCCACTGTCTGCTTAAGATATATAGATACATAACTGTATTTTATCATCGATGTGATTGGTCTAATATTAAAACCAGATATTAGTCATAATGGTATAGTAAACGTGTAAGAAATTCTCTTCAACAAAAAGCAGAGAGGTATTGGGACTTTAAGAGGATATTTAAGGTTGACATGACAACAAATCAAATTGGGTTTTCGCTCCCATTCGAAAAATCATAGCGAGTTTCCATGAAATTTAACAATATAATTGAACAAAATGAAGCATGGGTAATGTAATTAGTTAAAAATCCATCGTTATCCTCCACTAAACGGAGTATCTGTCAGATAATGCATTATTGTTTTATCACTCACGAAATATTGCACCTTTTTATGATACATATACAACTTTTTGTTATTTTTATAAGATGGAGACAAGCATTTTGATATTTGATTCAATCACAGAAGAAACACTTTTTAAAAAGGCAAATTCAATGAAGATTAAACGTTGTAAACGGCGACAACTCGAAATTTTGATCGTATTTAAAATTTTATTATAATTTCGAGAATTTAAGCTTTAAAACTGATATCTTATATTTCACAGAATTGTTTTAAATGATAGCGTTACCTTTTTAGAGAAAATAAACATTTACATTGTATAGAATTACGTGTTTAATCTGAAGTAACCCGTTCAAACAGTAGCAATAGAAGCAGTGTAAGTAAAATGTAACCTTATTTTCTATAATTATGTCATCAACTTTTTATATTGTTTGATTGATTATGTTTACCATTTCTTCTTTTTTCAGTTTTGTTCACATTCTAATTCTACCCGAAACGTCGAAGAACCCAGCATGTCTCCTATTCAAAGTAAGTTCTAATTCATCCTGGATACTCCATGGGTTACACTCAATTTCGCCTCTGCAACCCTGGAATTTGTTATAGTAAAATTGAAGGCACGCGGCTACCTATCTGATTAGTCTCGGGTTAAAACATACTGACCAATCGCAAGGCTGATGTCTATCTTTTGAGGATAATACTGGAGCGGCACCCGACTTTAAGCCAGTCAATTATACCGCTACAGGACCGAGAGATTCTTTTGATGTACATAAAAGGATCAAACACGTTTTCTCATCTCATCCAAAAGGTGGCGCACGCTGAGCCTTCGACTTTGTCATAACATATTCCAGGGAAGTAGAGAGCTAAAGTGTACGTAACCCATGGAGGATGGTACTTAGTATGTGGCTACATGTTTAGTATAGGAATTTTAAACAAAGAACGAGATAGGGCCCATTTCAGCAACTAACATTATTTTCACTATGGATCTCTAATACTACATTTATGCTTTGCTATTCAGATGCACCTGAAGAAATTCAAACACCCCTACATTTGGCAGCAACAGTTGAAAGAGTGAAGGCCATGGGATACTCAACAGGTTTAATTCAGAAAGCTATAGAGACACTACAGAGGGGTAAGGTAGTTTTCAATATTGCAACGGATAATTTGGGCATCAGATATTCAACTTAATGGCACAGGGGAAAATGTGTAAACTAAACCTGTGTCATTTAACATTTATTTGATTTTTTGTAGTTTATTTAAACGATATCTGTGATGAGAAGATGTTTTGTGGGGCAGAACATAGAATGAGAATTTACGGTAACTCCAAACCGTTGCTTTTAAGAAAACATTTTCAACATATTTTATTTCCATAGGTTGCTTATAATACAATCCATGTTCCCGAACAACGTTAACAAATTATGCAACTCTTACAGATAACACACCGATTGATACCAATAGCATTGTGAATGAACTTATTGAGAATGAACGAAGCTATTTTAGCAACAAACCTGATCGGGTCAAGGTCAGTGAACTCGCATGGAATACAGCAGCTCGCACATCCGAAGTCGCCTCTTGTTCAAATGGTTTAACCGAAGGAATGAGAAATCTCGACATTCAAGGTAAGATATCATTTTACTATGCCCATTGTGATATTCTTACAATCAGATGTATTGACAAGGGGTTTGTAGCCATAGTTTTTAAGGAATAAATGATAGATATCAAAATTATTTTAAAAATTAATCAATATTTCATAAATAAATAAATCTTTTAATGTATGTAATTTGAAATATATCTGTAAATGAACCCTGTCTCCTATGGATGAGAGATGTAAACTATGTCAATGTGTTATAAATATATAATGAAATGCAAACATAAAGCGTTTTATTTTTTATTTTTTATTTTATTTTATTATCTTATTGAATTAGAACTGCTCTTTTGCTTATTCTTTTAGAGAGCAATCGTTTGATGGAGGAAAATAGACGTCTGAGACAGGAACTTAAGTGTAAGATTTGTATGGATGTCGACGCTGTCATTACATTTGTTCCGTGTGGTCACATGATTTGCTGTGAAGACTGTGGATATGCAGTGTCTAAGTGTCCAGTTTGTCGTCGTGCCATAGAAACGCGTGTGAAAACGTGGATGTCGTAAACACTCAAACATAACCGAAGCTGTGTATCAGAAACATATATACAATACCAAGTGTAAAAGAGATATTACAATCCATTTATTCACTAATTCATATGCTGAAATTTCTCGTTTGTTTCTCGAAGCTTCCAAATACTTACGTGAAAAAGCGATATATATGCTTGAAATTTCGATATATTAAACTGCAAAAATCAGTTTTAAATAATCTACCTCGAAATTCCGACTTATGCAAAATTGAAATGTCGATGTACTGAAAATTTCTATATACTTTAAAAACAATTGCAGACACAAACTCGAAATTATGTGATTTTATTAAAGTAAATAAGTCTGTATTCGCCTTCCTAAAAATTAGACGCAGTACATCTACATACCGTTTTGTTGATCTCAGACGACACGATACACGGCTGGGTGTTTATTTATGAATTGAACGATGTAAGTGTGACGTGCTGATTCTATTATTATTATTATATTTTATGATGTCATCATTATATTATTCGAATTTATCATTATATTATTTTTTATCATCAATATATAATTTGATATCAGCAACAAATGATTTTGTATTGTAAGTTTTCATCATTATATTATTTGTTTTATCATTATAAGATTTGATGTTATTGTTATTTGATTTGGTTTCACCATTATATTATACGCTCTTGTCGTTATATGATTTTGATATCTTATTTATTTATTAATAATTGTATTACGTTTGTGTATGGATGTTGAATTAAATCCAGGTCAAAACACAAATGGTATGTTTATTTTTCAGCTAACTATTCGCAGTTTTCGAAATAAATTAAGTTATATTGAAGACATATAATGTTATATCTTTAACAGAAACTCATCTTGATGACAATGTTTTATCCTATGATTTGCAATTAGATGGTTTCATGGAGCCCTTTAGAGCAGACAGAAATTTGGCTGGTGGTGGAATCTAAGTTTATGTGTCCGAACAAATTAAAGCAACAAGAAGATTAGATTTAGAATTTCCCAATGGCGGGTTAATATGGTTACAACTAGATTTTCCTCAGCGTAGCATATTTTATTATGCACTATTTACAGACCATCAAATACATCAAATATGTTTTGGGAAAAATTACAATCGTCTTTAGAATCAGCAATGGACTTATTTCCAAATATTGTAATTGTAGGTGATATTAACGTAGATATGCGTACAGTTAACCGGCATCATGCAATTTTAGACATCATTGCAGCTTTTTATTTACGAAATGCTATAAATGCACCCGCCAGAATTGGAAACACTCGTACCAGTCTTCTTGATCGCGTTCTCTTGTCAGAACCGATTAAACGGATAGAATCAGCTGTTTTACCTATCACGAAGCATATTAAGTATATATCGAGATCAACATTAAGTTAACGACATCTTATAAACGCGAAATTTGGTGCTACAAACAAGCACATTTTAATGAATTTAATAGATTAATTGATGTTTTTCCGTGCTATGAAAAGTTGTTACATTCGGTAAATGCCAATGAAGCGTGTAAAAGTGTATTGAACAATTTTTAACTGTTGCTAGACAATGCATTCCTACGAAAACTGTCACTATCAGACCTAATGATAAGCCGTGGATGAGGTCAGAGTTACGTAAAAATATTAGAATACGTGATAGATAGCACAAAAAAACCTAGAGCAAGTCACCGTGATTGCGATATAGTGAATTTCATGCGCACTCGGAATCGAGTTAACAATATGAAAAATACGCACGTGAACCATTTTATGGAAATCTAGATAGCGTTTTTGAAAATTATGTCGCATCAGGTCCGAAATCGTATTGGAAATTATTAAGAATAATTATAAAATCTAGTAGTCACTATGTAGAAATCCCTCCTCTTACTGTTCCTTTAAGTGGCAATATTGTATATGAAGATACTGAATAGGCTAACTTGTTGAATAACTAGTTTTCATCTATACGCAATCTAGATGACGCAAACATCCATGTTCCACATCTTGTTTCTAAAACTAATTCATCACTAAGTTCTGTAAAGCTTACACCTGAAGAAATAGTAGATGTATTAGAAATACTAAAATTAGGGAAAGCCTCGGGTATAGATGGTATAAGTCACCACATGCTACGATATACAGCTAAAAATATATGTAAAGCTCTACAAAGTTTATTTAACAGGTCATTGTCTGAATGTATATATCCAGATTGTGGAAATAGGCTATAAAATAGTCATGCCGATATTTAAAAAAAAAAAAAGATGAAAAAGACTCATATTGTTGGTTCTGAAAGTCTATTGTATGTATGTATCATACATCATATTGTCTGTAATTATTATGAAGTTTATTGTCTGTATGAATCATATATCATATTGTATGTATTTATCATGAAGTCTAGTGTCTGTACTTACAATTAATCATAAAGTATATTGTCTGTATGTATCATGCATCATATTGTCTGTTCGTTTCATAATATCTATTGTCTGTATGAATCATACATCATATTGTTGGTTCTTATCATAAAGTCTGTTTTTCTGTATGTATTATACATCATATTGTCTGTTATTATCATTAAGTCAATTGTTTGTATGTATTAAAGATCATATTGTCTGTACTTATTATGAAGTATGTTGTCTGTATTAATCATTCATCGTATTGACTGTACTTATCATTATGTATATTGTCTGTCTGTATATATATGTTTGGCACAGAGGTATAATAGCAAAGCTAAAAGCATATGCTATTTCAGGTAATATCTTAAAATGGCTAGAAATTTATATTAAGGACAGAAAACAAAAAGGTTTTGTCCACGAATCTTGTGCCCCAAGGTTCAATGCTAGGGCCCCGGTTATTTTTAATCTTTATTAATGATATAGCTGATAAATTATTAAGTGTGTCTCGACTTTTTGCAGACGACACATCTATGATATATGCCTCTTCTTCTTGTATAGAAATAATCATGACCTGAAATGCATAGACGATTGGTCAAAACAATGGCTAGTTACATTTAAACCGAACAAAGCCAAAGTTTTATTTATCTCTAATATAACACAAGATTATGATTTTGAACTGTATTTTAACGAGACAATTCTACAATTCTCAGAAAACCATAGGCATTTGGGTGAGACTTTAAGCTCTAATGCTAAGTGGGGTGACCATACAGAAAATTTATATCAGTCCGCATTGATAAAAAATAAATGCTTTGAGAAAGTGAAAAAAAATAGTAAATAGAAAAGCACTTAGTGAAAACTATTTATGTTTTATACTTCCAACATTGGAATATGCTTGAGAACTTTGGAGCGGTTGCAGTTTATTCTAAAATTGCATAAATTTGTTATTTATTACCTTTATATGCTTATAATTTGCAATTAATCATTATAATTCTTGAGTGAGTTACTTTAATGCGTATTTAATATAATTATTCATATGTTACAATGAACTTAGTAACTGTATTACTCGGTCTGCCGTGTGTATGTTGTTTTTAATGTTTGACCTCTTGTTACACACACAAGTGTGTAAAGAGTGTAATAAAGAATCAGAATCTGAATCTGCTAGTAAACAATCATTAAATTTTGAAACCGGATGGGAAACATAAATAAGTAGAAAAGAAAGGAGAAAGCTTCATTTATTTTACAAAATGCATAACAAACTGACATCATCATACCTGTTTCATACCTGTATACATTATTACCTGGTTTAGTTGGGGAAAGAAACCATTACTCATTGAAAAATAACAACAATTACCGTATTGCTAATCATAGTCTTACAAGTACCTTGAAGGAGCTTGGATGTACATCAGAGCAAGATTATTAGGAATGAGCATTGACATGGACAATTCGAACAGAGGAAGTTGCCGGAGTGTGTAGCTAGTATGTGGCAGGCAGACATATTATACATTATTATACATTATATTGTTGTATAGGGTAAGAAATGCTATATGATAATCATGTGATTTCCCTGCACTTTCAATCTGTTTCATCTTTCCTTTTCTGATTTCCAAATTCGGTTTATGGTATGAAAAATTGTACATGTACATGTCTATTGTCGCCATCACATTGTTGTAGTACAATTGTTTAGGAGAGGGTTTTTATAAGTTGTCATAACTTGTGCCCACACCTCTTGCTTGAATTTAGAAGCAATAAAATATGTTTCAACTAAAAAGGATAGTTTAAATAAGTAATGGCTTAATGATAGTTATAACCATTATCAAAGCATCCACTTGTCAAATGTATCCCATGTATCGGTAACTAGACACTAACACACAATGTTTTTACCACTGTTACGTTTCTTTTTATCACTCCACAGTTTTATTGAAATGTATCTTCTTACAAATATGTTTGTATTACATAACAGTACCTTTACAGTACCTTTACAGTACCTTCACAATGATTTGTTTTATTCATTGTTTTTTTTCAGTTTTATCTGTTGTCATTTCTGAACATCTGTATAAATACAATAAAAATATTTTGTGAATTTGAAATTGAGTTGACTTTATGGATTGTTATTCATTTTACGTTTCATACTTCATAACAAAGAAAAAAATAGGAAATAATATCTAATACACAAATAGTTTATCATTGACAAACTTTGGTTTTTAACCTAACCGTTCCGGTTATTTAGTATATTTGTATTTCCTACTGATATATGCATTGAGAATACATTAATTTGTAGCCGCCTGATTACGATGCCATCTTTAATTGTTTTTCGTTTTGATACTGATCGTGAAAACAAGATGGTCGCCATCTTAGATTTTGGGGGTTTCAACCTTGTTACTGCTATTGCTGAAGAAGATCTTGACAGATCTTTCTCAGTTTTTGACCGTTGAAGTTTGTTTTTGCTATTTTCCAAGAAGAACTCTATCCATCTTTCGTATATGTGTTATGTAGATTCGCAATAATCCAAAGTTGTGCATGTTTCATTTGGAGACTATCAAAAGATGTTGGCCTTCTTGGATTTTGACAGATTAAGTTTGTAAATGCTATTTCTAAATAAATATTTAATAACCTCACTTTGAAAGAAACTCTCAAACCTATCTGTATGAATTTTTAATCAAAAGACTCGACTTTAAATCAATAGATGAAAGAAGGGAAAACGTTAAATGCACATAGAACTAATGAAGATCTTGCGATGGAGGGCGCTAAAATCCCTCTTGGATCTCTTTTTGTATGAAGGGGGAGGAAGAGGATGTATCCAGTCTTATTCATCCAGAGCAATACCCTCATCTGCATTTATTGTATGGCCTCTCTATGATGTATTTCATCATTTTCACACTTTACAAATATTGCCATGGACCGCAATCTGATTGTTCAATGCACATTCCGAGCTAAACCAAATGTCACCCATTCCTTCCTTGCCTTACTAGTATACCATATGTAAAATAATCATATATGATTATTAGACCTTCTAAGATTGAAACATAAACATATAAAACCAGTCTACATGTTTGACATTGCTTTCAAAATATAAATTCTGTACGAGTATTCTATGCATAACTAAGTTTTAAACTTCTGTATAAGCACATTGATAGACATTTCTCATTTTGAGGCAGACCTAGCACGGAGCAAGACACGGACACTGAGAGTAGTAAATTCAGGAACATCTCAATTTTTATGGCTAACTGGTGTAGCTTATCTTTTGTTAAAATAGATGGCAGAACGATAATGGTCGCTTCCACAGGGACCTGAGAATTCGTTACATCAAGATTTGGACCTACACAAAGGTGTTTGAGAGTAATTTTACACCTTTTAGGGGATTTGTCACATTTTTACCGAAAATAAATCTAAAATCGCCCCCTCCAACGTGTAAAGTTACTCTAAACACCTTAGTTTAGGTCCAAATATAACTGTTACAAATTACCAGGTCCCTGTGGTTACTTCGTCGCCATCATGTTACTGTTCATCCTCGATATACAGGGGTTACGCTCACTTTCGCTCTCTACACCCCTGGAATATGTCATAGCAAAATTGAAGGCTCAGTGTTCGCCACCTTGTTGGTGAGACAAGAAGACTAGTTCGATCCTTTGATAAACTTCAAAAGAATCTCGCAGTCACGTAACGGTAGAAATTGACAGGCTTTGAAGTCGGGCGTCTCTCCTTTGTAATCTTCCCATGACAGGTACATTGTATCAGCTTAGTGATTGGTCAGGTGTTGGGTTTTTTTTTACCTGAGACCAATCAAACAGCTGTCTTCGTGCCTTCAAGTGAGCGTAACCCATGGATACGAGGATGGTTACTGTTGCGAAGGAACATACGAAATATGCAAAGGAACGAAGACATGAAAATGTGTGGAACAAGTCCTTTTAGCTTAACGCTATCATTAATAGACACCGTGTTAGCCTTAAACTTTTCTTTCGTAAAATGGAAATATCGTGTCAGAAGTTTGTGGATGGTAAATTTAAACTGCAAATGTATAAATGTGATCCCTGTCACTCTGGTAAAATACTACCTTTTTCCTACTGACTTTTTGGCTCTGGGAATTTCTTTTAACTCATTCGGGGTCAGAATAACACAACAGAGGTCCCGGATGAGATCCTTAGTGGAGACATTGAACTATCAATTACTACGGTTACATACTTGCTGCAGTGAGCCACGAAAAAAAAAGACTATAACGACTGTGGTCACCGGTCACATAATGTTGTATAATGTGTCTCCATATGATGTTACCTGTTCGCTTACCTGTAGTCACGTGCATGTGCGTGTACACACTCTGACATACGTTCCGTCAAAAATTATTTTGAATGACCCCTGTATTTGCTTGTCTAGGTCTCTGTCTCCTTGCTCCGTGCTAGGTCGACCCCAAAATGAGAAAGGTCTAATCTTCTCCTAATAGCGGCAGCGATGCAGTTTAGAAATGTAAGGGGAATAACTCTTGTATGTGTCCACCCGCCAGTAGCGTTTTCGATCAACCCGTCTTTTGGAAAACCCAATTTTGAAGAAAGAAATTGGTAATTTAATGCAAACCATCATGTTCCATTTTGTTCCCATAATGACAATAATAATACAGAAATAAAATTATAAGACAATAGAAGATTTAACATTATGGTAGGTCCAGAGAGCAACCTACCAAAACTCATCATACTTTGTAAGTGTTTAGCAATCGATCTATGCATATCCCAAATACCGCCACACTCGAGTGAACGTATTCATATTTAAATATTGTGTATATACGCAGAAACTATTCCTTGAGTTGCCTCTAGTGCATCCTGTCTTCTTTTACAAAACCCATTTTTCTGCCATGTTGTTTTTCAAAAATACGTCCGCCTCTTTAGCTGATGGGCCTTACTTAACGTTCCCGGATCTCACAAGTCTCCCATATGTTTATATAGAGCACCAAAACAAGCGTGGTGTCCCTTTCATTGTTAGAGGCACCAGTGGCGAACACAAGTTGTGAGTGTCTCTGATACTGATATCTCGATGTCATACATTTAGCCGATTCATTTACAAATTTCCTATGCTTACGCCCGCTGCTCAAGTATTACTTCACGGATACCAACTTACTATTTTACTAAATAATGTGGCTCTATTCAGCTCTGATGTAAAAAGGTTAGTTGCCGGTTCGTTTAACGAGATCGAAATGAATTTCTCAACAACTTTTGTAGCACTTTGCCTTTACTATGCAAATTGTGCCTAAAGGGGCGAGAACAGGTCTTTTTTATCTTGGTACTGTACGATACACAAATGGCTCTTTTCCAGGGTCGCCATAATCCGTAGGAGTATCAGGCTCCGACACACATTTCGATAGACCTACTAGTATAAACATTACTTGGCTAAGTGATGAGCCTTATGTGACTATGGAATGATCAGATAACAATTCAAGCTGACGTCAGGCACCGGAATTCAATAAAAACCACCGGAAAAACATTTGGCTGCCTGTTGAGAAGTTTTGAATGAATAACGTTCATCGGCGTTTATTTGGATATTCACCTATTGTATGATATTTTAGAATATGTCAGGATGACATTGAACGCTCATGGTAAACTGTATAAATGGTTTCAAGTATACTGACCAATCTCTAGACTGACATCTGTCCTTTTAGGATAACAGTGGAGCTATGTCCAATTTCAAATGGCGATTTGACCGTTACGCTGCCGCGCAACTACTTTAAACTTTATCAAAGACATGATTGTATCATTCGCAAGGCGTTGCATATAACATCCTTTGATTTTGCCATGTCATCTTCAAAAGGTGCAAAGGAGATATATGGTTCGGTAGCAGAACCCTTGGATTTCTAATAAGAGAAGTTGTACTTTACCAGAATGAATAAAATCTGGAGAATCTCGACTATTTAGCAAGTCGAATGATCCTGTTAATGCGTTTCTAGACCTAAAGTAGATGCATCTACGTACTGCTAAAACGTTTTGCTTTTGGGTTTTTTTCTTCACAATATTCATTGCATAATAAAGGACTCGAGCCCTTTAATGAAAAGATGGTTACAACTGCCTCGTGTAGTGTGAACTGCCGACAGCAATAGGTTTTAGCTTCTAACAATATTGTGACTAATTCATGAGTTCAATTCCAATATTTCATCATAATATTAACAAAATCTATATTCGCCTGAATCGTGATTGGAGTGTAGCAATGCAAACTATGGCAACATGTATCAATTTCCTATATTCCGCGTTCAGACACATAGAATCATCATCCGGTATACAAATTGATTTAAGACCTTATTATTATAGCATCCATAACTTCGGACAGTTGTTGTTTTACTACTGTAAATAAACTGCCGTATATAGGTACCCTGATGACGAGGACGTCAGCTGATTGATGTTACCATACTAACGTTTGACAGTATGACCTGTCACCCTGTGTCTGTCCGGATTACAGTGGAGACATTACAACAGAAACATCTCGACATGTTAAACTACTACTTCTGGATTGTATTCCACATACTAAATTATGGTAAGAAAAACTGGCGTTTCCTTTTATTTTACCAATGTCATTCAATATTGTATGATCACTTGATGATATATTATATAAAATGCATTCTTATCGAATTTTATTATCAGCAAAGTATACGTTAATGCTCAACGATGTGAAGATAAATCAGATATAGATGTTGTATGATATACAATTCTGTGAATGCTAACAAGTATTGCTTTCCCGTGACGGTAATGTTGTGGCTATTTTTAAACTGGTATTCTTGTTTGTTCTGTACCAATCATGGATCATATTGTCTGTACTTATCATAAAGTGTATTGTCTGTATCTATCTTTCGTCATATTGTCTGTACATTTTTAATTATCATGAAGTCAATAATCTGTATATATATCAGGCATCATGCATATTGTCTGTACTTATCATAAAGTCTATTGTATGTATGTATCATACATCATATTGTCTGTACTTATCATAAAATATATTGTCTGTGTGAATCATGCATCATATTGTCTGTATTTATCATGAAGTATATTGGCTGTATGAATCATGCATCATATTGTCTGTATTTATCATGAAGTATATTGTCTGTATGAATCATACATTATATTATCTGTATTTATCATGAAGTATATTGGCTGTATTAATCATACACCATATTGTCTGTACTTATCATAAAGTCTATTGTATGTATGTATCAGGCATCATATTGTCTGTATTTATCATGAAGTATATTGTATGTATGTATCAGGCATCATATTGCCTGTACTAAGTATGTAGTATATTGCATGTATGAATCATACATCATATTGCCTGTACTAAGTATGTAGTATATTGTATGTATGAATCATACATCATATTGCCTGTACTAAGTATGTAGTATATTGTCTGTATGAATCATACATTATATTGTCTGTATTTATCATGAAGTATATTGGCTGTATGAATCATACATCATATTGTCTGTATTTATGATGCATCATATTGTCTGTATTTATCATGAAGTATATTGTCTGTATGAATCATACATTATATTATCTGTATTTATCATGAAGTATATTGACTGTATGAATCATACATCATATTGTTTGAATGTATTGTTTTTCATATTGTCTGTATTTATCATGAAGTCTTTTTTCTGTATGTATCATGCATCATATTGTCTGTATTTATCATGAAGTATATTGTCTGTATGAATCATACATCATATTGTCTGTACTTATGATGCATCATATTGTCTGTATTTATCATAAAGTCTATTGTGTGTATGTTTCAGGCATCATATTGTATGTATTTATCATAGAGTCTATCGTATATATGGATCAGGCATCATATTGTCCGTACTTATTATGAAGTATATTGTCTGTATGAATCATACATCATATTGCCTGTATTTATCATAAAGTCTACTGTATGTATGTATCAGGCATCATGTTGTCTGAATTTATCGTAAAGTCTATTTTCTGTATGTATTATACATAATATTGTCTATGATAAGCATGACGTCAAATGTCTGTATGTATCAAACATCATATTGTCTGTACTTTTTATGAAATATATTATCTGTTTGAATCATGCATCATATTGTCTGTATTTATCATAAAGTCTTTTGTATGTATGTATCAGGCGCCATATTGCTGAAGTATATTGGTTGTATGAATCATATATCATATTGTCAGTATTTATCATGAAGTATATTGGCTGTATGAATCATACATCATATTGTCTGTACTTATCATAAAGTCTTTTGTATGTATGTATCAGGCATCATATTGCCTGTATTTATGATGCATCATATTGTCTGTATTTATGATGCATCATATTGTCTGTATTTATCATGAAGTATATTGGCTGTATGAATCATACATCATATTGTCTGTATTTATCATGAAGTATATTGGCTGTATGAATCATACATCATATTGTCTGTATTTATCATGAAGTATATTGGCTGTATGAATCATACATCATATTGTCTGTACTTATCATAAAGTCTTTTGTATGTATGTATCATACATCATATTGTTTGAATGTATTGTTTTTCATATTGTCTGTATTTTTCATAAAGTCTTTTGTATGTATGTATCAGGTATCATATTACCTGTACTTAGTATGAAGTATATTGATTGTATGAATCATACATCATATTGTCTGTATTTATCATGAAGTATATTGGCTGTATGAATCATACATCATATTGTTTGAATGTATTGTTTTTCATATTGTCTCTATTTATCATAAAGTCTTTTGTATGTATGTATCAGGCATCATATTGCCTGTACTTAGTATGAAGTATATTGGCTGTATGAATCATACATCATATTGTCTGTATTTATCATAAAGTATTTTGTATGTATGTATCAGGCATCATATTGCCTGTACTTATCATAAAGTCTTTTGTATGTATGTATCAGGCATCATATTGCCTGTACTTAGTATGTAGTATATTGGTTGTATGAATCATACATCATATTGTCTGTATTTATCATAAAGTCTTTTGTATGTATGTATCAGGCATCATATTACCTGTACTTAGTATGAAGTATATTGGTTGTATGAATCATACATCATATTGTCTGTATTTATCATGAAGTATATTGGCTGTATGAATCATACATCATATTGTCAGTACTTATCATAAAGTCTTTTGTATGTATGTATCAGGCATCATTTTGTCTGTACGTATGATACATCATATTGTCTGTATTTATCATGAAGTCTATTGTCTGTACTTATCATAAAATCTATTGTCTGTATGTATCATGCATTATATTGTCTGTACTTATCATAAAATATATACGATATTTCAGAATAATAAAAATTTTGCTGAGGATAGTATGCAATTCAACAAACGATCTTGTTAGATCAGTATATAATATTTTGTATTAGGACGCTGAACAGTATTCCAAACAAAGTTGGGCAAGGTAAAAGAACTTCTTTTTACCAATGGTTTTAGATATATTTGGTAGATGCAGTCTGTAGGTAGTATAGAAGCCTTAATGCATTTATTTAAAATGAGAATTAAATATAGTTTTGTTCCAAATTGACACAGACCGAACCCTATTCCATATGAGAATCGTACATGTAATTGTTGCGGGGTCTTAGAGGACGAGTATCATTTCCTTATGGAGTGTACCTTATTTGTATATTCTAAGATTAGACACATTCATATCAAGAGAAGGTATTTTCATCTCCCAAATAGACTAATAAAGTCTATTACCTATAACAGAGCGAGATCGGGTTATCTCAGTCGAGGGCTAAGATTCTGTAACATAATCCCAACCGAGGCGTAAGCCGAGTTTGGGTTGTTGTAGAATCTTAGCCCGAGACTAAGATAACCCAATCTCGTTCAGTTACAGGTAATTGATTTTTTTTCTCGCACCTTTTATTTTGAAAAAAAAAGACTATACAGCGTTTCAAAAAAAATACAAATATCCCGTTTAGGGCCTCAAATACAAATGGTCTCTTCACTTCTAAAGCTACATTCGAACGCTTCCGCGTCAAACGTGTAGTCCGTCCGTAACAAAAGATACGTATCTCACTGTGTATATTATGTTTTATCTACAACATCAGATATCCAACAACAACAAAACAATACATATAACGACAAAACAGAGATATGTATAATGCAGATTGTCAATGTCACGCCGTTAACGCGTGGATGAATACACCGCAGTGGCAAAAGTCCGCGAAATGTCACGTAAAGGTACCAGACAGATCGGACGAGATAGAAAGTCTAGCATGGGGTATGACGTGGAATATCTCTATCTGGGGTGCGAGAATAAGTTTCTGGAATTAATATCGTCTACGAGCAAGAGTACATTGAAAAATATTGCCGCTTTCATTTTTTGAACCGAATGCGATACGGAACGATAATTTATTCAATCAGCAGTAACGTTACTGCTGATTGAATAAATTAACGTCCGCCCTGATATCGTGAAACCTGCGTTTAAGTATGGAATGTCACTGGTTTACTTTATTATATATTAATGTCTTAATACATTGTACCACTACAGATATCCTTGTATGTGCAATGTATTTATAGCACAAAGACATTTGTGTCTATTGCTGAAAAAGAACATATGTAAGTATGATGCCATTTAGGGCTGCTCTAAGCACCATCCGAAACATAAAAAGTGTATACTTACATATATATCGGCGCACGGCAATTACCCATTCTATATCATAACACGCTGTTTTAGAAATGTTTTATTCAGATTTGTCACAAGCAAAATTAACGTATTGCTATATGTTTTCCAAAATACCACTTATTATTTTACTCTTTTATTTTCAGATTGCGTTTTTGCTTCAGCCTCTGTTTCATCGTCGTTCATGGAATTAAAATCTGATATTGGCGGCAGAGTATTTGATAGCCCCAAATTTGACATAAAAACCAGGGGAAGTATTGAATGTGGTATGAAATGTCTACAGTACGCATGTTGCTTTACTATCACATTTAACCCCACCACTCGTCAATGTGTAGGCTATAGGTCTACATTTGATAACACAGACGCGTACTTCCCTGATGCTGAAAGTATCACATACGAACTGCAGCACCGAGGTTTGTATGATTTATGACAAACATATCTTTATATCAAAATGAAATTGATTCCGCAAATGTTATGTTTTGATAGAAATGTATCTTATGATGAATATATTAACCCCTATGGAATTCGTTTGTGCAAGCAATGAGCTTTCTTTAATGTACATGTATCCCAAGATGATATGCACACGTCGATGACATGGCTATGCAGATAAAAGATTACAAGTAATTTGTGCACCGTCTATTTATTCTAAAGACTAGTTAAGCTGATTTCTACGTTATCGTCCAAATATAGTAGTTATTTTGTCAAAACCTTTAACAAGCAGATCAGGATTTGAATAGCATAAAACAAAAACACGAACTTATGTTTTTTTTATAATTTATCATTATCAGAATTGGAAATCGACCAATATATTTCTTTTACTTTCTATATCAACAAATGTTGTTTATCCCTTATTTAAACCTAGCAGAGACTTCGTATACAATGTGTTGGGTATGGATAACTTGAGTCAATGGTACTTCTATAACAATGGATTCTAGACAATGACAATAGATGGATATATATTACTGTTCATTACAGATAATGTAAAAACTCACGTCAATGACATCGAAATGACAACAGTATCTAGACATTTCTAAATTAGATTTGTTTCTGTCATTAGGTTTATGGGGTGCTGACTCATATGTGTACAACTCTTCCATCGATTTGTGTTTCTCCCTGAAAACAACCCCTGCATCACAGATAGAGGCAATCGAATATTGTGAGATGGACGGAGGGTACCTGATGCCAATAGAAACATCAGAGAAGATATTGGAGGTCTGGGCAGAAGTCATCACGTCTATCCCGGGCAGCAGTATGTACCATGTCTTTGTTAATCGTTTAATTAATATACTCCCAGACTTTGTTATTGTAGAAAAACTGTCTTTAGGTTTGAAAGGAGTTTATCAAATATATGCCATGTTGCGTGAAAACGCGACTTGTTGTAACTGATTCGTTTACAAAATGTCGTCAGGAGATAGCCAAGACCTCCTATTCACCGAAGATTGACGTTTTATTATAAAGGTGTATATTAATAGCATGATCAATATTGATCCGTCTTCACTAACTATCAACAAGAACTAATAACGTAAACCAGAAATAATTGGCAATATTTTGAATTGGAATGCAGTATGTCAAATAAGACACCTATACGAAAATCCATTTCCTAAAAAATACAATGTATGATTCCTACATGTGTGTAAGGTACTAGGCTATGCCCGCCATTATGAAAGGGTAATTTTACAGCAATGAATTCCAAATAAGTGCATGTTCCCATCGCTTTATTATTAATTGTTAATTAACCACAATTTAAAGATAAAAAACCATCTTTCTGTGGTATCATATAAGCTCAATAAAAACACGTAAACATGTCGATGCTCATTAGAATTCGAATTTGTATAAGGTATCTTTGTACTTTTGTAATCGTACAAATTTAAATCAATAATTGTACTGGTATATATTAACAACATTGATAATATTTCGGACGCCTTGTCATATAACTGTTAATTATCAAGAACAATTTAAACAATTTTTAAAAAACATATTTACAAATTAATATGTTTAACATAATAAAATTATTCCTATAAACTTCGTTAATAAATTGTGACTTCAGTTTATCTCTAACGAAGAAGAGTTCCAGTTTGTTCAGCATTTTCTCATTTGGAGTTGCTTACTCATTTTTATACATGTAGCAGAGGTTAAAAAAAGTTCATCTGAAAGTACATAAGATTGAGCTCCCTGGGCTTTCCCCCGGTGAAATACGGTAATTTTGCTGCGTCTCGAATTCTCGCCAAGTGCCATGGAGACGTTACGAAGCACAAAGATCAATTTTTCAAACACAAGTTAAGATATGTAGGAGAGATTAAATACCAATCATCGCAGTATTGGGTGTGTTAAACACATTATTGTCGCCAATGTTTCGGTATACAACTGTCGTCAATGTGTCGGTATACAATTGTCGCCAATGTTTCGGTATACAATTGTCGCCAGTGTTTCGGTACACAATTGTCGTCAATGTGTCGGTATACAATTGTCGCCAATGTTTCGGTATACAATTGTCGCCAATGTGTCGGTATACAACTGTCTCCAATGTTTCGGTATACAACTGTCGTCAATTTGTCGGTATACAATTGTCGCCAATGTTTCGGTATGTAATTGTCGCCAATGTTTCGGTATACAATTGTCGCCAATGTGTCGGTATACAATTGTCGTCAATGTGTCGGTATACAACTGTCCGGTATGTAATTGTCGCCAATTGTCGCCAATGTTTCGGTATACAACTGTCGTCAATGTGTCGGTATGCAATTGTCTCCAATGTTTCGGTATACAATTGTCGCCAATGTGTCGGTATACAATTGTCGCCAATGTTTCGGTATACAACTGTCGTCAATGTTTCGGTTTACAATTGTCGTCAATGTGTCGGTATACAACTGTCGTCAATGTGTCGGTATGCAATTGTCTCCAATGTTTCGGTATACAATTGTCGCCAATGTGTCGGTATACAATTTTGTCGCCAATGTGTCGGTATACAATTGTCGCCAATGTGTTGGTATACAATTGTAGCCAATGTGTTGGTATCCGATCTGCTACATATGAAAATCCCTGACACAAAATTTAGAAAATGCCTGATTTAGAACAAATTGTCTTTGTATGTTTATTTGGCACGAGTCATTTTGCAACTTTCATCATCTTTCAAACAAAATGGCCTATGTCAACGACTTAGACCTGATTATTGGAGCACATGTACATGTAGATGAATTAAAGCACAGCGAGTTGTAACTAACTGCCATTTTGTCATTGAATGAGATGACCGTTGTAGATTGGATTCTGATAGGTCGAAATTCAGATGCATTATAGGTTGAAATTTAGATATTGTCCGATTTTGCTTTAGATTAATATCAATGCCCTTTTATGGCATTGGAACTGTTTTCTGCTTATCTTTTGTGGCTTTTGGGAGAGTTTCTAAGGGCACTAAGAACTCGTGATGATTTCTTTTTTCACTAAAGATTGTTGTCCCCTGCGAGGTTTCGATCCTTCGTCCTCTTGGTTATCCTTAACCACTGTGCTTCCGGTTATCATAAAGTGCATTGGCCATGTCTATAGTTGCGGTTTTCTGAAACAGGACTGGATGATTATAAATGCTCTTAATCTCAGACAGAGAGAGACAGACAAAAACAGAGACAGAGACAGAAAGACGGGTAGAGAGAGGGGGGGTAAATATGATCATTTACCAAATTAACTTATTTTTTTATCTTGTATTACATAGGCCTGGTGGCTGATCCCTTATTCTGGGTGGATGGATTCAACGATGGTACAGGACAATTTATGTTGAGAAACGGCAATTCCATATCCAACAGCCTTCTGTGGGCTCCTGGAGAACCCAGCCATACAGGCCAACACTGTGTAGCCCTGAGCGAACAGTTCTTATTTGATGACAACTGTCCAGAATCTCATAAATACATATGTGAATATATATAGCGGTATAACTTTGGCAGGTGTTTTGAATGCTGAATATGGTAACTGTTCATTCAAAATGTATACTATAAAGTAGCAAATTTGAATGAAATGTAAATTCTAGGATCTGGGCGTTTAAAAAAAGATATGTGATATATAATACAGTGATAGTCATGTTATGTTTCAACTTTACATGGACAGAAAGACTGTGAAATGGACTAATTAAAACTAAACCATGTATGTTGTTAGCTTTGCATGACTCCCTTATATTATCTTATTGAACTTAGACTATGACTAACATGTTGCAGTTTTCTCTATATCATGATCATGAGCCAGATTTACATGTATCCTTCCGAAACAAAGGTATGTGGTTTTACTTTTATTGTGCGTGTGTGTTTGCCCGCGCAAAAACAAATCCTGTTTATAAGTAATGTGTATAGTTATGGTATGTCTGATCATAGATTCGCCAATGATCTGTGAAATTTAGGACTGCTAATATTTGTTTCAGATTTAAATGTTTAATATATTGGTCCATTGTTTGAACGTTGCATGATATCACAGCACACGTCAAGTCAATATTGTCAATAGAAGCACGTCCATTTCACACATTGTTGTAAGATCAGTATATATTTTCGATTATTAAAAGTGATGTCAAGCCAGTTTCGGGTTGTCTTGTTTCATTGTTTGAAATGGCAAGCTTGTCAGAGACATTTAAAACAATTTTTCTTTTTTTTTAAAGCAATTCAATGTACGTCTCTTGATCCTGAGTATACCAACCACTATTCCCTACCTATACATTTTTGCGGCAGTGTCTCCCTATGCTGAGGTACATCCGTCTGTGACTTAAGCTGTCGCGAGGTCAATGAAGTTTGCAGGAATGTTTCAAAAATGTGTATATTTAGGGTCTGACAGCCAATGCCACGTGATCATTGATGAGAACTATAGAATCTGTTAACTAACGGCTGAGGGGAACGGTTGAATTCACTTGAGTTAGCGGATATTATCATGCCATTTACACCAATAAACTAAAAGGTCATAGCTAGGCAACACCATAGATATGTGTTTATCTAACGTCGCAGATTGCNCACAGTGAACTGACAAATGGAATCTGTAAGCCTTTATTCATCAAAAATCAGATTTCTTCTCAAAACATGAAGCGAACATCGATGGCGACAAAGGGACGGAACGACATCACGTTACCAAAACGTAAAATATTAATGGCGCTATAATATTCGGAACCCATTTTTGTTTCAAATCAGTGAATAACAGCCGACGAGTTCCAGCCAAAGAGTTCTGGAGTACATTTTCTATAATCGTGTGAAATACTGACCCTGTTTATGGCACTATCCCTTAATAAGATTAAGTAATTGTTACTTTTTTCCGATAATGTTACTGATTAAGAGAAAGGCCGCCATGGTATTCTTTGTGTAAAGGAAAAAAAGCGAGACCAAATTAAAAAATGACTTGTTTATTCAGCTTCATTCTCATTGCATAATGCACGAATTAAAAACTGTTTATGTATTATCAAACAATATTCACAAAAATGTAATTGATTGCATTCATGAACACTAGACACTAATTGCCTCTATTAGACAATTTTGCTGGCTGACACGTAACCTTTTTTTGTCGACAGGCCTTAATTCTTTAATCTTAAAGCTTGATATTTATAAGAAATTATCGTTCGCTTCTTCTTCTTAAGAGTACAAAGGCTCCATCAATATACTGATGATTATGCCTTTGGGAACTATGGGGCCGCGGTGACTAAGTTGTTAAGGCGTCTGACATTCTGCTACCACTAGCCCTCCACCACTGGGTCGTGGTTAAGGCGTCTGACCGGTTCGAGGACTACGTGGGGCTGTCGCCATGTACTGGCCGTTGATCGGTGGTTTTTCTACAGGAACTCCGGCTTTCCTCCACCACCAAAACCTGGCACGTCCTTAAATGACCCTAGCTGTTAATAGGACGTAAAACACAAAACAACCCAAATCAAACCTTTGGGAACCTGTGCACAGAGGCGTGACAGAAGGGATTATTTACAGTGATTAGATAATGTGTTTTTCGTACAGGGTATATAGATAAAAGGTAAAAGCTGGCGTATGTACTAGCGTGTGATGCGGGCTTCAAGGGCTGCATATCTAGTGTATGTGTTCCCTGAAGTCTTCGAGTGTTTTGCATTGTACTGCTGCTATGGGAAGGATATTCCATTGTGTTATTGTGTGCGGGAAGAATGAATATGTGTAGGTGTCCTTTGTAGCAGATATGTGTTTTTAGTTTTGCGTAAGGGTGTGCATGTTTGGTTCGAGGGTCTACGGGTGTGAGTATAGGTTTTAGGTTTAGTGCTACGAGTTGGTGTACTATTTTGTAAAAAAAAAAAAGATAATTCTTATGTGAAAGTGTCGTATTTGTAGTGTTGGCCATTGTAGTTTGTGGACCATGTCTGTTACTGAGCTGGTGTTGTGATATCTGTTGTTTACGTAGCGTGTTGCTCTTCGTTGGTTTTTTTTCTATTTGTTGAATTTGGTTTATGTTGTGTGGGTCCCAAAAAGAAGAGCAGTATTCAAGTTTTAGCCTGACTAGTGCTTTGTATGCATGTTCTGTTATATGTGATGGATTTATTTTTAAGTTACGTTTGAGAAAACCTAGGGACCTATTGGCATCGGCTGTAATGTTGTTTATGTGTTTGTCCCATCGTAAGTTATTTTGTAATGTTAAGCCTGAGTATTTGCTGGATTCTTCTTAGTGTGTAAGTGTGGTTGTAGAGTTTTGTAGTCATAATGTAGTTTGTTGCGTTTTGGTGTAATGTTGAGTATGTTGCATTTTTCAGGGTGAAATTCGTACGCCAGTCTGTCTCCCATTGTTCCGCTGTGTCGAGGTCATATTGTAGTATCGTCTTGTATATGATGCTGTAGTCTGCAAAGAGTCTTTGTGTACTGTATTGCATGTATTCTTGGAAGTCAACGGTGTAGATGAGGAAGAGGATGTGGCCAAAACAGGTTCCTTGAGGAAACCCAGAGGTTACTTGTATTTTAGCTGATTGTAAGAAAGTCTGTAATCACTAACGGTTAACCCGTAATACTTGAGTTTGTACTGTAATCGTGTGTATGGGACTTTGTCAAAAGCTTTGGCAAAGTCCATTATGATGATGTCTGTCCGTTGATGTTGTTTGATGCGAGATCGTGTATGAATGTGGTGAGCTGTGTTTCGAAGGATCTGGAGGATCTAAAGCCGTGTTGTAGGTCATATAATATGTTGTTGTTCTCCAGATGTGTCATTGTGGCGCTTGTTATGATGTGTTTCATGAGTTTCCATGTGACGCAGGTTAGTGGTGGTAACGGGTTGTTTCGCCCTATATCCCGTTCGCGTTAAGGGTTGTTTCGCCCCTTTAATCCCGTACGCCCTAGGTTGTTTCGCCCAAAAAATAAAGAATTATACGTTTATAATAATTAATATTTAAATGTATCAAATACACTTATTGATAACTTTCTACATTGGTGTTATAGGTATATTTCATGTAGACAAATACGCAAAGTTGGTGTGAGTGCGGAGTCAGCTTTTCACAGCTGCCGTTTGTTACACTCCCTTAAAAACAACTCAAACACATTTTTATTAATAAAATTGATTTTAATGATATGGAAGACTAAGAAGACTTAAATTGTGACTTAAAACTACTAAAATTGATAGAAACTACCAAACAATGTTTTTGCGGTTTACGGGCGAAATAACCTAGGGCGAATGGGATTTCGGGCGAAACAACCCGGATCGAACCGAATTTGTTGGGTTTTACTTGTCTCCTTTTTTGTATACTGGGTTGACGTTTGCGTGCTTCCAATCTGATGGTAGTGCGCGGTTTCTGTACATAGTGAGAGAGCGGGTGAAGATTTTTGTGAGAAATGGTGCTGAGATGTTAGTTCTTTAAGTAATCTGTCGTGTATATTGTCAGGTCCTGATGCTTCATGTTGGGTGATGTTGTTGAATATCTACCCAACACTTTCAAGGTATTTAATTTTTTAATGTGTGCAGAATTATAAGTCGGTACATAGTTGAACATGATAACACAATCCTGTTAAAGGCTTTTACAACCGACTATAGCCTGGTTGGTCAATAAAATCACAGAGAGTAAATTGAAACAATTAAAATTCACTACTTCAAGTATGCAACAGTCGGCCTACATTATCATAGTTATAATATTAGTATTTCCCGCCCGCGGAAATGAAGTTCGAGTTATGCCCCTTGTTTTCTCTTTTTGCATGATGTCATCGTAATGTGTGCACAAAGGTTCAATGTTGCCTGTGACAACGACCAAGCTCTTAATGGAGTAAGAGCTGTCCTGATTCCATTCGCTTTGTTTACATCGTAAGCATTTAGTTTACAGATAAGATTTGTGTAAGTATTTGTTGTAATATGTAATTTTCACTCCTGTATTGTTGTCATTGTTTATTATGTACCCGTTTAACGAAGATCAACGGGATTATATTTCCCTCAATTCAGATTTCATGTGCTCTTCAGCATAATTGGTTGATATAATTACACATTAGATGTCAGCAGCCACTCTTGGTAACTCGAATAAACTGTTTAGGCTTATTTATGAAAAATTCGTGTGAACATAAATAATGATGCCAAAAATAGGGAAATGCTTATATATAGATCAACATGCAGTAAGGAATAGGCCGGGGGAGGAGGGGTCATCTCAAGAAGAAAAAATCTAATCTTAAAAGGGCACCCAAAGATGGTTGAAATAAAATGTGCATGGTGTGTGTAATATTCCTTTCTTAAGTGTCCTTCTCACAGCCTACACCATCCACCTATATTTGCATCTCGGATGTGTATTTATAATAAGCCGGTTATATGTCCACAAAGTTATTCAGGATCTTGTACGTGATCACATATATTGTCAGCCAAGCTTTGGATCACTGTAGATTCATACTTTCATTTCTTAAATTCTGGATGATGTTACTGATCATGTGTATGCTATTTGTAATGACAAACCTACATATGTAGCTGTACGTGTAACTGTGATATTGTAACTTTCTGACAACGAAATCAAGGTTGTGTTATATATATATATATTGCGTCCGGGGCAGAGGAAGCCAGGTATTAATATTGGTACTTATGTAGCTGCTGCTCACTTTAGGGAACAACAGAAACTGAGAAAGCTATTCAAAAAGATAACCAACAGACAAATAAGCAGTTAAAGCTATGGCAACAGTGTTGTTGAGTCCTGGAATAGTCAACCCATTTGGCAAATGCCCAAAGTATAAATAATTTTAAACACAGACTCAACAAGTTCTGGTCTGATCACCCCTGTAAATTCAATGCTTCTTGCTATTAGCAAGTTTCTGTCCAGAACATTTAGTATTTTAACTCGCTTTTAAACCTGCATTTGACTAAGATTCTGGATATTATTTCCTCTATATCAATACGCACCAGAAGTCATGTTTTTGTATAGGAATATTAAAACACACTGCAAGAAGCTACCTGAAGCTTTCCATTGGTGTCTACTAGTCTACTATATTAACTATATCAACTGTACGTGTCTGGACGGAACAGAATTTACACTGGTTGTAATTGGTTGTCCCTAAAAGTTTATCAATATTGTTAAACATTTTTTATCGGTGATGCATACTCTACACTTGTTGTTATATTGGTTTAGTATGCCCTTCCTTTACCAGTTCCATACCAATCAATTAGTTCCTCTTGAAGTATCCCAGTGATTGTGAAGCTCTGGCCTTGATGTTTCTTACATGTTCATTTCTGCATTGCTCCTCACTCGTAGCCATCCTGAGGTACTCCCAAAAGAGTGACCAGGTAGTGGGTAGCTTGTGATGGTAGGTCTGTCATTAATGTCTCTGCTGCTAATATGCATGACAGTACACTTTTCCAAATTGAAAAACATTTGCCGCATGTGTTCCCATCTTTCAGAGGCTTTCGGATTCTTCTGCAATATGTGTGCATCTTCCCTGGTCTTAGTGGTCCATAACAAACAAAGGTCATCATCAGCTTATATAATTAGTGTATAGCAATTTACTTTACTCACACAGACTTGTTGTTTATGTTAAAGGTCTGAGAACTGTCACTTGGAAACATTATAAACAGGACATACACACGTTTTAGTTGATGCTGTGTTCATCCAGCTTATCAGTTTTATAAGGCCTTAATCCATTTCCAGGTAGTGTACCATAAATACAGAGAATAATGTAGGATTTAATAGAAAGTTAGTACCCTTTTTGAAATAGGGGAAAACATGCACTGTAGGTTAATGTCAGACCTGTCCAGTTAGGGCTGTTCATTATCGACAGATATGCATTAGAATAAATCAGCGTTTGTGTGACTATTTAGATATTGTATACTGTAAACAGAGCTAGCTGTAAACAGAGTCGTGCAATATCAGCAGCGACAATTAACATAACCACAGGAAACATGAAATAAATCACTCAGTTGTGGAACTGACACAAAATAAAAACAAAATGGAACCAAGATAGATATTTATGCTAGTACTTAGTTACAAGTGGGGAAATTTGTAACTCAAATAGGGGAAAATAAGGCTGAAATAGGGAAAAATCATCCTGATATTGGAGAGGGGAATTGATCCATGTTCGGCAAAAAAAAGGCCTGTATATATCCATGATACCATGATGGTCAAGTTTTTGTAGAAGCCATTGTAGCTTCTTCACACATTGTTGTGGGATTTAAGCTTTACTGAAATCCAGAGGAAGCGCTGCAACCTATATATTTACCCACTGACATACTGTTGGTTGTAGCATTGACCATAATGATAAGCTGTCTATAGTTACATGTATTAAAAACTATTTTTGAAAAACCATCTCATTGAAGTAATTAAAACATTAATCTGAAGAAGTGTAAGTCTACTGATTGTATATCTTTGTCAACTAATGGGCTAATATTTAATTCTTTTTCTTCTCTAGGAGAGTCATTTTCAAAATGGGGCCTCTACCTACAGGTACCCGAACTCTGCACATGAAGGAGAGTCATGGCTCTGATATCAACACGATGAAATTCTACAACACCACAAATTCCACCACATATGGACGATACTGGGAAGCCTTCAAACCAAGGCCAGGGCGACACACAGGCACAGGCTACCTGTCCAACTTCAGACCTGCAGTGTACTACAGTAAAAAATTGGACGATATTGATAATCCAGTACTTAGGTATGGGAAATCATTTGATTTATTCAACAGGTTTAGATACTACAATTAATTGTGCTTTCTTGTTTGGTTTTCCAGTTTTTGATGTTGTGAATGAATATATCAAACAATTTAGTGTTCAAAATTCATATTTCTGAACTCATTTTACTCATCTCTTGAATCATCTCAGGAAAACTCACAAGCTCAAAAAACTCCTATTTTTAAACAAATTTAGAAAATATCCCTTAATTTGCATTTTTTTTTTAAATCTGATTGCCCTTACGGATACACTTAAGTGTTTAAGATTGATTTTTCAAACTTTTCCTATTGGATTACATGATTTGCAGGCTGTTGAATGAATGACACTAGCTAGTTATTCCATCCATGCACATTATCAAATAAGAAAAGCTGAAAGGAAGAATGTAACTGCTTTTGTATTGTATATTTTTACTGGTCTGATATAATACATTATATGTAGCTTATAGTGGGAGAGACAGCTATATTCCTATTTATACATTTGTCCTGTCAAAAGTGTGATAGATTATATCTATAATTCTATTGTATGTCATATCATTATTTCAGTCTTTGGGCCTAAGTCTGTATATATTTATCATTGTCCTGATGATGAAACGCATAAAAACTAAATGATTTTGATTAATGACATAATTGGGTGTTGATCATTTCATGCCACCACTGCGTTATATAAATTACATTTAGAATACACTATGGAATACAGTTACCCTTAAAATTTACCTGGTATGTCGGTTCAAACAAAATAGAAACAGACCTGTAGTACATGAAGCTTAATTATTGGTAAACAGAATATGTAATTTATAAGATATTTATAAGATATGCATTAATATTTGGTTTTAAATATTTTAATGATCCCTTTATGTGATAAATTTCTGTTCTTATTTTTCTGACAGTGATATTTGTTCAAGAAATTACCACAGCATGACAGAAATTCATTATCAACCATACAAAGAAAACAGTGGTAGAGAACCTCTTCCTGCAAATGTTCATCAAGTTGGATCTGGCTTTGTGCGACAGAAACCAGTCACAACTCCCATTGAGAAAGAGGTTAGCATCAGACACATTTTTTCTATTGTGATAACTTTGATGTTACAAAAAAGAATTTGACACATTTAGACAATGAAATGCATTATTTATCAAAATTTTCATTTCGACATGTACAGGTGAATGGAGTGTTCATAGATACACGGGCAGCTACTGCTCCGAATGACATCCTGCCCAAGTCTGTACCTCTACTTCACAAACTCCGATCAAGAGACCCTGTGGAACTGGAAAACTGTGGATATGTAGGTTGATGCTTGCAGGGTTACTCTTAATTGGAAACTTTATTCCCTGGTATACCTCATTGTTTAATTATTACTAGTACAATTCATATATTAATCTTCCTACTCCAACCCAACCCTTCCCCAAATTAATTTGAAAATAAATATGTTTGAAATATTTTATTTAACTGTTTTTTCTGCTAAATTTTACAACAGCCTTGAGAAATGTACATTTTGTAGCATTATTTTCATTCAAATTGAGGTGATATTCCTCAACTTTTCTTCATTATGGGAAAATACAGCACCTTTTTTACTTGGGGAAGCAGCCTATATTCTGGTGTAAAGCTAGGCAAAAAATATCACTGTGGTACTGTCATGTTATCATTATATTTTTCACTCAACAGGGTCCAAAATACATGTTGTCAGAAACCAAACAAAGATTTGTCGGTGACCAGCCTGACAGAAGTAAGTCCTAATACCTTGTATAAGATGTATAAACTCTTACACCTTTTACCAGACATCAGATCGCTTAATACATGCACATATTATGTGCTTGATAAAATGTCAGAAATAGCGTACAGTTCTTGTCTGATAGTCATTTGTTACATCACTGGTAATTAAAAAAAATATCATTGATGTCTTTTCATGAAATTTAGTATATTGATAAAATTTCACATAAAATATCTCAACTTGTTTTTTGTATAAAAATATGGTTGTGATAGGAACAAATTTTTGTTTGTAATTTAGTTTTAATGTTGTTGTTTTAAAGTGGAAAGAGGCAAAAAGAGTAAAAAAGAAAGAAAAGAACAAATATCTTATTTACACTTTATACATATTTAAAATTTTACAATGTTGTGATCAGAACATGAACCTTCCTTTGTGTTTGTAGTGGATGTATCAACCAAGACCACTGGTCCAAAGGAGGAGTCAGGTTTCACACACGCTTACAATGTGGAACCAATCACCTACATTCCAGGATCGTCTCATCCAAATGAAAAGCCGGTGAGTAAATTACGTATTGGTATACCCTTGGAAGTTAGTGGGTATTTGTATATTGAACTATTTTGCACATTTTTTAGCTTAATTCATGAAACAATAATTAAATTACAAATTGTTCACAAATTTTAGAGCTTTTATGAAGATAAAAATCTGTGTAAAAGAAAAGATTCTTTGTAATCTTTATGAGATTACTGAACAAATGGTAAAGGTATGTTTTTCATGTTTTCTGTGAAAAATACTTTTTAACAACCATTTCATGTATTTTTTATTGTTTTTGGTAAAATACTTCAAAACTTTTGTTGCAGGGATGGGATACTCAGCGTCCAACAGGAAATAGTATAATGAAGACACACTTCCTTCGATCAGAATACCCACATGTAAGTTTCCTCGTCCAAAACATCACCTGTTACTGTACAGGTCACCAATAGGTGACTATACGTATACATGCTGTACAAACTCTAAACTTTCATTTTGTACTTTTACAGTTTTCATGGTTCATTGGAACCAGGAATGTTAGTAAAACAACAGTTATGAAAAAGTTTGCATAGACAAGTTCTGACATCTATTAAAATATGAAACTGCAGAAGACTGTAGTATTTATTGTTCATACAAATATTTCATAACATAAAGAAAAATAGGATAATCTTACCCACAATACTGATGCCACCAGGACATTTGACTCCTTTGTCAAAACAAGAAATTAAAAAGGTTTAAATATTGTGTTTTTGTGTATTCATGAAGAACGTATGTCAAGTGAATGAGTTGTGTTCAAAATAGTTCAAAATACGTTGTTAAAGCAAAAGATATTTTGTGAAAACAGAAATTCAATTTGGAAATGGAATTGTTTATCTACCTGTCTGTTTTTGAGATTCATAGTATATTATGTCTGTACAATCCGTTTAACATGATGATAATGATGCAGGGAGATGAAGGTCTACCACGTCTGGCTGTTGGGTCCGAGCGAGGTACAGGCTTCACCCGCGAGAAAGTCAAGCCCCTGTATGTACAGAGGGTCATGGGAGATGTAAGTAGACATTCTTATTATAGATCTTATTTGATGAGTGAATTGAAGTTATATAAAGATTTCATCATTGTACATATGTAACCTCTCGTTTTTATGTGTAATTCCCTATTGTGTAAGTGAATTATATTGTGTGTTGTTGCTGTTGACAGGCATATGATAAAGCTGGTAATATTCCTGATCTGCGGTTAGAAAGGACTAAGAAAGCTGATCCCACAGAGTTTCTCAATATGCAAAACCCAAACAACTACTCAAGGTAGGTCTCAATACCATTTAGATTTTAAAACTTATAACTCATAAATACCAATCACTGTAATATATTTAAATGACTCCATCAAAGAAAGTTTTGAAAATGAATTTATTAAAAACTTTTTCATATTGTAATAGCCCAATTCTTTAAGAAATTTATAGATAAAAAGTGAATCTTTAAAGAAGGTAGGCATATTCTGTTAAGTTAAGAAGTTTCATAATTGTACATCAGTATGGTATATGCTCTGTGTGTTTGTTAACTCTACAGTATGATCATGTTTATTTGAAGCATTACGATGAAGACATTCCTGGGTAAACAGAGACCTGACAAGACAGAATCTGACCGTCTTGACCATACAAGTGCGGGCAAACAGGAACTTTCTGGCTACAGTGAAAACAATGACAGATTTGTAGCTACTGCTGATGAGCCTCGAAGGTTCATCACACACTATCTTACCAGGTAGGTGAAGTTAAATAAGAATGCATAACTGTAATTATAACCCCCGCAACAAAGTTAGGGGGGTATACTGGAATCAGCTTGTCTGTCTGTCTGTATGTCCGTAGATTTTTTTTGTCCGGACAACTCCTTCTAAAGTAATGGACCGATTTCAACGAAACTTTCCAGATATGATAACTATCACCTGAAGTTGTGCATCCAGGTATTATTTTTTCATTCTGACCCTTTTTTTTATAAAGTTATGGACCTTTGTTGGAAAATTCTGAAACTTTTTGTCTGGACAACTTCTAAAGTTTTGGTTTTTAATTGGTTTAATTTAATTTCTACATATGATAACTACCACCTGCAGCTGTGCATCTGGGTATTCTTTTTCCATTCTGACTCTTTTCTACAAAGTTATGGCCCATTTTTGAAAAACTCCTCCAAAACTAAGGGGCCAATTTCAACGAAAATTTCCAGATATGATAACTACCACCTGATATTGTGCATCTGGATATTATTTTTTTCATTCTGATCCTTTTTATGGAGTTATTGCCCTTTATTAAGAAATGCTTGTCCAGACAACTCCTCCAAGACAATGATGTTGTGCATCCAGTTTTTTTTTTTACCAAACCTTTTTTATTGAGTTATGACCCTTAGTTGAAAAATTCTTGTCCGGACAACTTCTCCTAATCTACTGGACCAATTTCAGTGAAAGTTTCCAATATGGTAAACCTGATGTTGTGCATCAAAGAAGTACTTTTTCATTCCAACCCTTTAAAAAGGAGTTATGGCCATTTGTTGAATAAACCTTTGTCTGCATCATTAACTAAACAGCCGATTTCAATGAAAGTTTACAGATATGGTAATTACCCTATGATGTTATTCATCAGGCTAGAACTCTTTTTCATTTCGACCCTTTGAAGAGTTATTGCCCTTTGTTAAAAATCTTTGTCCTCACAATTTTTCCTTAACTAATAGGACAATTTCAGCAAAACTTGTTCATCTGGGCTAACAAGATTTTGTATGTAAGTATGTTTTGGCATGGGGATGGAGTACAGGAAATATGTCAGTGACTTGCATACTTAAATAAGTGTACAGCTCAGTCAATAAAGAAATCATTACTGGTTGAAGACTATGGATTGCTTTGCATGCTTTGCCTTATTGAGCCTTTAACGTACACTTCTAGTTTATATAGGAGCAGGGGGTATAAGTTAGCCTTTGGCTTACAGTTCTAGTTAGTAAAAATATTGTGCCCTATAGTTTGTCTGTTTGTCCATATTTTGCTTTCGCCATGATTTCTTGTGAAAGAAAGATCAGATTTTTATCAAACTTTGCTGATGTAGTATACTTATCCAAGTCCCTTTCTCATGTTCGATGACGGACAATTCCTACACATAGTCAATGAGGATGCTGCATTGTGACTGGTCAAACACATGGTAGGACTTTCATTTATACCTCATTGGTTTAGTTTTAAGTGATCTTCCAAGCAATCATTAGAACAGTCAAACAGAAGAAATCTGTAGTGGCAGTGCAAGTATTGGAAATACCAACATGGAATATCACTCTTCTATTTGTTGTCACACATTCTCGTATCACTTCTCAGAAAGAGGTGTACAACATTGTCTAGAACTTACTAAATACTAGCTACATACATCATTAATCCTATACACTGGTGGCTTATAAATAAAACTTTTTAAACTCATCTTGTTAAATATATTAAAACAGGTGTTATTATCCAAGATCAAGTTATATTGTAGATGTGTACACATTATTTGGGTTTCAGATGAGGATAATGAATCTGTTTGCCCTGTCCATTTTTTAAAGTGTATAATTTTTGTACAGGTTTGGTCCTGACCCTAACCCACAGGGTATAGACCGTGCAGGACACACCAGAGGAGGATTACAGCATCAGAAACCGGATGGATTTACAAAAAGCACAGCCGTACACTCCTATGGTAACGACCTGGACACCACTGCCACACTGAGGAGACTGGAGCCATATGTCGCTAGGTAATGATCAGGTGTCTGAGTGTTAAGAAGTGGTCATTGTTGAGAAAATATTTGTATTTAAATTCAAGTATTTACTTCTCTGTAAACATAGATACATATATAATACATGAATTTAAACCTGGTCTAAAGGACTGGTGAGCTTATGTACGGTAGTGCAGCCTCCCTCTGTTCATGAACTTTTCCTTTAAAACTAGTCCAGAGCATCAGAGTGGAATTTGAATAAATTTGAAATTTGGTTTGGACCATTGTTAAGCAAGATGCCTCAATTTTGTTCAAATGGATGGTGTGGCATTTCAGAAATGTTGCATCAAAGCTATAGTCATGCTGGTAAAAACAGTTTCCAAAACGTTGTTACTGTTTTTTGAAGTGGTAGAGGGATCCTTAAGGCAGAATATGTTTTGGAGGCCAGTTGTCTTAATAATTGTATGTTTATACTTGTTATATTATTATGTCTATAAAATTATTCTCTAGATAAGTTTTTCCAGTGGTTTTTTTCTGTCTGTTTGTTCTAGGAGCATCAAAGCCAGGGATGTATTTTATGATGACCACCTCCATGATGCTAAATCATACCAGCTGCAAGCATCTGCGTAAACGTTTGAAACACTAGAAAAGGACAAAAAACACCCAAATTTGCACTGATATGGAACTTACTACTGAAGGAAAAAATGAAACATTTGAACTATTATGTGAAAATGATTGTGTAATGAATAAGCCTTTCTTTAAAGCTTTTGCTACTTGCAAAAAATATAATACATCAAACATTGAAGAGAGACTATATCATAGAGTTAGGGCAGTGCTGTCTACACTTCTTACACGTGGAGGCTGGCTGACATGTATGGTCGGATGTATTTCTTAAGTAGCATTGTCTCTCTAACATTGTATTGAATTCCCCTCGGAAATCTGTCTGTCCCATTTTATATAATACAGGTTTTGTCTTGGTCGGAACAACTAAGACAAGTGCTGATTGTACACTTGAGAAATTTCCTTTCCTACTTTCACCAAATAATTGGAAAGGAAGTCATCCAAGTTTTAAAATGAAGGTGTTAACATGAGACAAATTTAGTGCTGTGATGTATCTCTGAAATATTGAGAATTTGTTGCACAATTACCTACTGTCAGAGGTGCTGTCCAAGGACAGTGTGTGCCAAGTCATGGATTTACTCTACCAGTATATATATAATACAAACCATAAATATACGTCGGACACCAGTATTAGTTTGTCTGTGATGTGTTATTTCCTGTATCTTTATATAACCATTTGTTTTCTTCTTCAGGAATTGTTTTTGTCTGTCCTTCATTGCCTAGAAGTGGTTTACACTCACTATGGATTTCTAAATTATTACATTTCCTTTGTTAACTTATTTTTCTACTTCTTTTACACAGAAGGGAGACTATTCCCATCGTTACAAGTCAAACCTATGCTCGACATGTTTTATGTAGAGCATATTGTTACAGTCTATAATTTTCATGTCTCTCATATTGTTTTTTGTTGTTTATCTCTTAATAGATTTATATAACATTTATTCATATATGTTTTATGCTAAACAAGTGTACAGATGTGTTTGTAAAAATTCTATTTAGAGAAAATATATACAAATATTTATGTTTAAATTAAAATGAGGGTTTTTATTCAAAGATGATTTATTTTTACACTTGTACTATTCATTATTCATTTTGCAAATATACTTTTGTCAATATTCATCAGATTTTACTTGACCCTTCATAAAAGAAATTTGTGAAAAAAATCAATACCTATACTGAATATATCTACAAACTCCTACAATCAGGTAACTTTACTTCTATCTCTGTATGAACTGAGTCTGGTACCACATACTGTTTCAACTAAGCTTAACAAAAATGTGTGCTTTCTAAAGAATAATTTTTCGTTTTCTTTAATCAATCTGTAGTAAAATTGATAATCAGTGTTAAATAATTCCAATCAACTATTTTGTTTTTTAGCTTATCTAATATTTATGTTTTAATAAAGAATAATATTTCGTTTTCTTAAATCAATCTGAAGTAAAAATATATGTAATAATAAATGTAAAATAATTTCAATCAGCTTCTGTGCTTGAAATCATTTCATTATGCATTGACCTTTCTGTGTATTGTTATATGATTCTGGTGTTTTATTTTCTCACAGTCGCTCAAATTCACGTTCTCGTTATCTAGTCCTTAATAACTGATATGATATTTATCTTGGATAACACCTCCCTGTACAGATTCTCTGTGCTGCTTACTTTAAGAACTAAATAAAGATGAATAAGGTACAAGACATATCAAATATTGATCATATCTACAAATTCAAAATTGTGTATCTTGATAGTTATTGATTGGACTCTAAGGTGACAAGTTTAAGGGAACATTCTATATACCCACAGAGAGTACCCATTGCTTTCTGCAATGTTTTGTATAGCAAGCTTGAGATATGTAATGTACCATGTTTTATCTGATAAAAACTGTAAAATTAAGAAGGAGCATGTTTGTTAGAAATTTTACAACACACTTCAGTATGACAATAAAATAAAATCAGTATTTGTTGCTTTTTTATTGAAGTTTTCAATTTGATCTTTTAACATCACATGGTTTGAATATGCAAGTAAGAACGAATGTTTTATGTTCTAATGAACGGAACAGCCTGAAGTCATAGTGTGTCAAGGTCTTTGACCAAATTTGTAAAGAAAAAAACCCATGAAGAACCAAGTCAGTATATTCGAAATAACTTACTTGAATGCAGTGATACAAAGTTTAAATGATAGTAATTATATTTAGCTTGTAGCATGCTGGAGTAAAGCGCCATGAACGTTTTTTTAGGTCACCTGAGACAAAGTCTCAAGTGACCTATTGCGATCGCCTTTTGTCCGTCGTCGTACGTCGTGCATCCGTAAACAATTTACATTTTCGATTACTTCTCCAAAACCCCTGAACCAATTTCAATGAAATTTTGCAGGGACCTTCCATGGACAAAGGTCAACAAAAGCAGTTGCCGGTTTAGTCCTAAGCCCCCAGGGGCCTGAGGGGCGGGGCCAAAAAGGGTCAAATTGACTAAAATTTCAAAAATCTTCTTCTCCAAAACCCCTTAACCAATTTCAATGAAATTTTGCAGGGACCTTCCATGGACAAAGGTCAACAAAA